TTTATGATAGGCTGCTATCGGTTGACGTCACCTCCGCCGTGACGCGATGCACCCATTCATAAAAAAGAGGAAAAAGAGAAACAACCCTGAGGAGAAACACTCGGAGACGGAGAAAGAGCACTAGTTGACCGGATCGGAGCGTAAAGAGTAAACGCGGTTACAATGCAGGGTGATGCGCTAAAAAAGGGAATCCACCGCAGGATCGGTGCGCCTTCTCCAGGTTTGGAGGGCGGTGGGGGCTCAGAGAGAGAGACGAAGATAAGACAGTAAGCCTACATAAGCACACTGAAACGACGCACGATGGTGGACCTGGGCGAGATGGACTGCCCGGTGCTGAAGCGGCTCCTGAAGGACGACAGCGCCAAGTGCCTGCTGCTGGACTGCCGCTCCTTCCTCGCCTTCAGCGCGGGGCACATACGCGGCGCCGTCAACGCCCGCTGCAACACTATCGTCCGCCGCAGGGCCAAGGGCTCCGTGCTGAGCCTGGACCAGATACTGGCCGGGGAGGAGGAGGTCCGTCCCGTCCGCTCCGGGATGTACTCCGCCGCGCGGCTGTACGATGAGAGGACGCAGGACTCCGACGCGGTGAATGAGGACAGCACTCTGACTGTGGTGCTCAACGCGCTGTGCAGGGACTCCTCCGGCACACGCATATACCTACTCAAAGGTAAATACGCTTTATTATTACACTCTTTAAATGGGTCAGCCTCTCCATGTGGCTAATGTTGAGAAAATAGGCTTCACTCAATGTGGTCATTACATTTCAGGATTCAGCCTCAAAAGGTCCATGGAAGCATTTCATTTAATATAACTGATGAAGGGTACTTTATTCTAATATAGGGTGATAAAGAGGCATAAAAATATTATTATTCCCTTGATACATTGTTAAAATCAGCCTTTAATTGGGGCAATAACCTAAAAACATTTTTTTTGCTCAAAATAGGTGAGTTATTTCCTCCTGCATATGGCGTTTATTCTTGAATAAGCCCTTATATTAGTCAAAGTTAAAATATACAATGAAAATTGTAATGTACAATGAAATAGTAATGATAAAAGTACACTTGCTTGGAAGATTAGTTTCTGTTAATGATTATGTTTATTTAATCAATGATAATAAAATAATTTCTCCACATGTCATTAATAGCCTAGTTTAAATGGATATGCCACCAGCCTATCTAGGGCATAGCTCATTTTATTTTTCAACCAACATATCAATATTATTTTAATGCCTTCATAAAGCTACTGAATATTCGTAGCTGCTCCTTCGCCTATAAACCAGAGATTGAAATGTGCTGCAAACTGTGCTTGCTCTATTTTATACACTGGTTTCATTTTTATTTTATCTGTTTTTGAATTTTACAATACACACACACACACTCGCTCGGTCACTCACAGCTACACACATACACACACAGACCAATGGCCGTGAGCTGAGTGAATGAGGTAATGCTGATGCGTACAAGCCACATCAAACCGGAGGGACTTACAGGACACCCGTGATCCTTTCAGAAACAGTTTGCCTGGGGTAAATCATAGATGGGAAGCTGTCTAAATCTAAAATCAACACTCGATTTACCCACCAGACTATATTTAGACTGCAGGAAATCTGAAAACCAAAGCTGCTGCAAGCTGCAAGCTGTGGCGCATTCTTTTTGTGTGTGTGTGTGTGTGTGCATCCTAATGACGCAGGCGCCTTGAAGCACAGGAGTGAATGTATGTAGCTTACAAAGACGACATTTTCCCAGTTAATCTGATTTGATCCCTGAGGTGCAGAGAGCGGTGGTCAGCCTATGTAATAAAAGCAAAGGGATGATGAGATTGTTTTCAAATCCACGGCAGTAGATACAGGACAGAGTAGGTCAGGGGTCGGTTTCAGTAAATAAATCCTGGTGCAAATGGTACTGGGATGTTAATGTGGTTAGCCATGCTTCTTTGTCCTCAAATATGTGTATGCATAATAATCTCTATTTCTGTAATGTTCCTGGAGGCTCTGGTGGTCCCCAGTATTGAGTGAATCTCTCATGTTTTACTATAATGTTATTTCTAATGTGGTGCCTTACTCTATAGTCATTTTTCTAGAGTGGTGTAATTATATCTTATGTCTCCTTTCCAGGTGGATACGACAGGTTTTTCACAGAGTACCCAGAGTATTGTTTAAAGACCAAATCCTTACCGTCCCTCACCAGCCAGTCCAGTATCGACTCTGCTTGCTCGTCTTGTGGGACACCACACCATGACCAGGTAAAACACAGCAGTACCACTGGTGTCAATCTGATGTAGTTCATGTGTGAACTGCTACTGAGTGTGTGTACAGCCAATTGTTCAGTCTGAAAACGAATGAGCGTTTTTCAATGGAAAAAAAACAAAACAGTTACCACACCAAAAAGCGATGTCTTTAATTAGCTTACTCGGTTAGACTAAAAGTGTTGAGTTCATAATAATATGTAACAGAAAAAACTGTTAAATGCATGATTTTGTTTCAGCTTTTTATGCTGTTCAGTTTCACATACTGACGCAGAGAGCTGCCGTGCGCAAACACTGGATGTTATTTGTCTTGCTATGCAACGGTTGTTCACTTTCCCACATTCATTCAACCACATTTGCCCATCTAGTCTGGGTGTCCAAAGAAGTGAAGTCATAGACTTGCTTCTTCAACGTAAACCAATGAAAATCCACTTTTTATTTAAATCAGTTATTTGTCTTTTGATAGGCTGCACTGGAGGCCATAGTTCACCATTGATTCACCTCTGCGCTACTTCCTGTGACCTGTTTGGCCTGGTTTTTGTTAGTGGTCTGCCATTTGAGCCTGCAGACTTTATGCAATGTTCACAGTCACATGTGGTGTGGGTGTAATTCCCCTGGAATGCATGAGGAGAGAGACACAGGCAGTCCTCTGTGTTTTCTAAGAAAAATGCTTGATAGTCTCTCAGCCACACTGTCAGGTGGGAGTTTTATTCCAGGAACACTGTAGCTTCCTGTTGCAGCATAGAAACGATAGGCCTGGTAGAATAGCCAGTTGTGGTATCTCACGCGCTATTTTCCTCTCTAACAACCCCCCTTACCCCTCCCCTTCTCCTCACATTACATCTCTTAGCAGTATTGATCATTTCCTGACGCTGTGTCAGTACCAAGTTCGTCAGCAGCAGTGACATAAACAGACAGAGCTCTTGTCAATAAGCCTCACTACCGGTATAGACCAGCAACCGACTGACCCCTCAGATCCAATGACAGGGAAAACAATACTTCCACTATTACATTAGAATAAGGTTTGAAATATGTTTCAAGATAAACAAAAATGGGTTGGCAAAGTTGGATTGGTGCATGTAAACATCAGGATATATGTAATTTAGATTAGAATATTTTATAAATATTTTTGTGTGTGTGTGTGTGTGTGTGTATGTGTATGTGTGTATATATATATATATATATATATATATATATATATATATATATATATATATATATATATATATATATATATATATATATATATATATTATATATATATATATATATATATATATATATATATATATGTATGTATGTATGTATGTGTATATATATATATATATATATATATATATATATATATATATATGTATATGTATATGTTCAGTTAAATATTTCCTCTTTATAATATGCATAAGACAGCAACAGATAAAACACAGCTATTAATCATAAAAACGATGTTGGTTATGTGTTGGCTTAGGCATTTAAATGTTATGGCCAACAGTTAATATTATTACCCAAAACACAACTAAACCAGAAAGGACAAATAGATTGACATATTCAGTCATGTCTCAGTCAGTGCTATAACAGCATGTACTGTGCAGTATGCAGTAGCACGTAGTACTTTTGCTTACACTGTATCAGCTGCAAACACATGTTTGAGTAGAGCTGACTTTCAGAGGAAATGTTGCAGAATTGTGCAGCACATTTTTCTCAGAAGAACAGTTCTTTCTTTCCACCGATGAAGTGTGATCACTGAGAAAGTACATGGTGTCCTCAATGAAGCATGACAGAATGGCGAATGTAAATCACCGGGATAAATCTGTTGTTCTTGCAGATGAATCAATAACACGCTATTTCCACTGAATTTCTATGGTCTGAGCATGTAAACATTAGTCAGCCCATCAGACACGCAGCTCCTACAGCAAGATGTGTTTCCTTATGGGGAAATAACCTAGCTTGAAACAAACGAAATGGCCCGTATCGAATGACCCCACATTAATCACAGATAATAAGCTAACCCTGGCCGATGATAAGCATGGCTAATGTGATTTAAAAAAAAATATTTAAGCGAGGTCACACTTTCACTGAAGACATCTGGTCTTTGGCATCTGCTTCTTTGTCTTATCATGTAAGCTGTTATTCATTTAAGTAAATTATGTCTAACATGGCTCTAAGTTAGGTTGGGTCAGGAAATGTTTCTCCATGTAATGACTCAGTGACGTGAATTAATGAATGATTAATGCACAAACTGCCTCCGATCAGAAAATCTGCCTCTTCACTGCTGATTTTAGAAATAAATAATTAATCATTGTCCACCCGTATGTCTTTCGTTCAGGGTGGCCCAGTTGAGATCCTCCCATTCCTCTACCTTGGCAGCGCCCTCCACGCCTCAAAGAAAGAGGTCTTGGACGCCATAGGAATCTCCGCCTTGCTGAATGTGTCCGCCGACTGTCCCAACCACTTCGAGGGGGCGTACCAGTACAAATGTATTCCTGTGGAGGACAACCATAAAGAAGACATCAGCTGCTGGTTCCTGGAGGCTATTGAGTTCATAGGTCAGTGAGGAAGTGTGTGATTTGCATGTATGGGTGTGATCCATGGTGGATAACCACAAATTTAAATGAGCTTCCTGCTGCAGCATGTTATTGTGGTTCGTTTTTAGGTCACATACTAAAACATTTCATCCGAGTTATGTTTATTTGTTCATTCATTTTGGAGTGATTGTGTACAAGCTCTTGCAGTTCCTGCTGGTAGATGTCAAAGACCTTTTTAATATTAATGACATATGTAGGGCTGCAACTAACGATTATTTTCATCATCGATTAATCTGAAGATTGTTTTCTCTATTAATGGTTTGTCTATAAAACAGCAGAAGAATGCCCATCACAATTTCCTTGTGCTTAAGGTGGCAGAAAATGTCTTGTTTTGTCAGTCTAAAACCCAAAAGATATTAAATTTGCTATAATGTAAGACAAAGATCAAGCAGCCGATTCTCACATTTGAGAAGCTGAAACCATCAAATATTTGGCATTTTTGCTGCTCATGCTAGCAAAACTACCTCTCTTCTTAAATCCCAAAACCAGAATGTAATGTGCATCACTTCTCGTGTGGAGTCTGAGAATTTTTCCCAGAAAATAGCTTTTAAGAGAACTACAATGGAAAGGATTTCCGTTTACTGGACACAGGCACATGGTGACAAATCAGACATTTATTTGTCGGAATCCAGAATTATTTCCAAGTAGCCCTTTAACACACACATTTAAAATCTAACAACCAAAATCTAGTCATCTGAATCCATTGCAGAACAAAACGATGTAACACAATCAAGGTAAAGACATATGATAGCATTTGGAATGATAAAATATTCCAATCAGTCCTGTCTCTGCAGCGTGATTTCTCATTTGTGTTTGTGTATATAACATAGGCAGGTGTGTGATTTGCTATTCCTTTGCATATCCATGGGGTGTGTGTGTTTGTTTATGGTTTCCCTGTGGTGACTGTATGTTTGTGAGCATGTACTCTGATGTGTATGTGTCAGTGCTGGTATGCGTCATAGTTAGCTGCTGTGGGACCAGAGTCTGACTCATCCGCTGTTACTGGGTGAACAGACGCTGTGGTGGAGTTACCTGAAAATCTGTTTGTGTGTGAAAGAGAGTTTGACAGAGGCACAATGTAGACAAAAGCAGAGCACAAAGGATGAGGGATGGGGAAGGGAGGTTGTTAGCAATCAAGCGAGACAGAAATGCAAGTAAATCATTCCAGAAAGGTCATGGAGGAAACCCGGATTCAAAGCATTGGGTTTATATCCACAGAGCAGCACAGCCAGCAGTGGTGCAACATTAGATTAAATTAATCGACATGGAAAAAAAAAACAATAAATGAAGTTCCTCCATTATCTTCTTCATATTCTGTGCTTCCAATTTCCTGCAGGCCACTACACATGCACTGGGACATTAACACGACTAATCGTGAGGTTGTTGGGGAAATTGAATCACTGTAAACGCTTTAATCAAACTATTACATAAATCTTCACAGTATCGAAGTAATTGCATGCGTCTGAACATCCTGAGAGAGGCAGAGACATAAATAGGACAGGGGAGGAAGTGTGAAAGAGGCTGATGAGCCAGAATTTGTTGCACTTGCGTGTTTCAGTTAAATGTGATTTGCTGCTTTCTCACTTTGAGGTTAGCTACTGGTTTGACTGCACCGGAAGGGGAAATGAAAAGAGCTTGAGGGGAAAGCGTCACTGTACATCTGTTGGGTTAAAAATACTGTAAAAGAAATTACATTTTAAGGTGATAGTTTGTTTACAATGTTTTCCATCTTAGTTCAGGGTGTTAGCGTGCCGGTTAACATTTGCCAAGCACGGCTAAGGCTGATGGAAATGTCACTCGTTCTGCAGGCGTTTGGCCATAAACACAAATGGACAAATCAAACATTTGACCTGATCATGCCGCTACATGATAAGCTATTGGATACCCAAAGTTCTCACTAATCATTGTGAGGGGGAGTACGGGGGTCTGTACCAAATTTCTTTGCGACCTATCCATCAGTTGTTTTGACATTTCATTCAAAACCACAGAACCTCTTGGTGGCGCTACAGGAAAAAGCCAGTCGATTCAGTAGATGTTGAGAGATTTTTGTAGTAGCTTATAAAAACGGAATTATTTTTACTGTCCATAGAAACCTCTGACTTTGGACCCCCCTCTCCTCAGATTCAGTACGGGACTCCAGTGGGCGAGTGCTGGTCCACTGTCAAGCAGGCATCTCCCGCTCCGCCACCATCTGCCTGGCCTACCTGATGAAGAGGAAGCGGGTGCGTCTCGACGAAGCCTTCGAGTTTGTGCGCCGGCGTCGCAGCATCATCTCCCCTAATTTCAGCTTCATGGGGCAGCTGCTGCAGTTCGAGTCGCAGCTCCTTGCCACCTCGTGTGCCGCCGAAGCGGCGGCCACGGCGAGCCCGCTGCTCGGGCCCAAGTCCTCAACGACCACCACCTCGACGACAGCCACGCCCACCTCGCCGTTCATTTTCAACTTCCCGGTTTCAGTGGTGAACCCTGCCTACCTGCACCACAGCCAGATCACGACCTCCCCCGGTTGCTGATGGATAGCCAATCACATACTTCCCCCGACAAAGTAACTGAGCACAGACTGGGCTGTCATTGGCTGGACGATCTGTCAAGTCTTACTGGCCGCTGCAGTATAAATATGCTTCCAGTACGGGTGAGAGAAGTGTCATGGTGCCTGAGTCAAAACTCAAAGACTGAAACACTTTTTAAAGTTCAGAAACCAGTCAGCACTCCTTCCATTTCAACACAACATTTATTCAAATTGACCAAAAATGAACTGTAACTCATTTCAGTAAACGAGTTTGGATGGAGTGCTGGACTGATGTTTACTGACGATACACCCTCTTCCGTGAGAAACAACAACAACAACAACAACAACAACATGCACAGAGGCACACTGACACACAAACACTGACACGGAGAGGCATGAGCAGCAGTGAACACACACTTTCTCTCTGTCTCTCTGTGCCTACACACGTTCACGACTACCAACTGAATAAGCTCAGTATGAAGACAGGGCCTGTTGCTATGGAGACAACAGGTCTTTAGGAGAGGAGATGGACACAGGAAGGAAGGAGGAATTTTAAGCACTTGCTCTTTCCCCTTTGGGTGTCCCTCCTGTTGCCAGACAAAAGAGATGGATGGAAAAAAAGAGGGGAGGAGATGCTGATAGAAAGCAGGAGCCTCTTCGGTGACAGGTGCTCTGCCGGCGATCTGACCGGAGCTTCCTGTCTTTCATACGTCCTCTTCCTGCACCCCCCTCCTCCCACACACACACACACACACACACACCTTCCTCTCCTCTCATCTCCTTTTTATCCTTTTATATTCCGTCCCTCCTCCTCCTCCTCCTCCTCCTCCTCCTCTCATCTCTGCCTCTCATCTTCACCCCATCCGCCCCCTCTCCTCTGCTCCTCATCTCCTCACAAGAGAGGCTAAATAAATAAAATTAGATGCCAAAAAAAGGCCAGGGCCCTCATAAATGGACCAGGAAGCCCTACTGCAGGCCCCTGATACACACTGTAGGAAACCCCCTTCTGCTACATCACAAAAAGGGTTGTTATGGACGAATGGACCGTAAGAAAAAGCCCCAAGAGAATGGCGGGGTCACAAAAATTTATTATCGCTTAAAGATTGAGCATTATGTTATTTCTGGGACATTTTGTGACACGTCGTCTTTTTCCTGGATTTTGCTTTTATCGCAAGGCTTATTTTGGAGCACAGTGGCACTTGAAGAAAGCTACATAAAGAAGCATGCTGGTGGTTTTGTATGTTTTAATCCGTCTGTTTCTGTTCTTTTCTGCGAGTTTATTTTCATAGTGTACCCAAGTGAACTGAATACATTTGCTCCTGTAGGATGTAATTTCTTCAATTTATGGGCTAAAATGTGCACCACCAGCGGATGGTCCTTTTTAAGATGTTTGTGCCTTGTTCATAAAGGTGTCCAGTGGATTTAGGCATTCCTGGATTTGCCAGTGGAATGATCATTTTTTCTTAGCTGCTAGGGAGCAGATTGCTGAATGTTAGTCAGACTTAAAAACATCTCAGCAGTGCACCACAGGCCTCTTGTTCCACAATGGCAAAACAGCAAAAAGCCTCTCTCTTCATCTCTTCTCACGCACACTCACAGATGGACACAAACACATAATATACTGTATTTGAGTAGGTGGAAGTCCATATTAGGCAGCAGACTCAGAATAGCAATTTTTCAGGCTGACAAGACTTTTTAAGCTATAGAGTTAAAGCAATGTTTGAATAGATTTCCAAAGCAACAAAGACAAACTTGCTAAATCATTAATAGACATTTAAATTGGAGAGATTTTAGGGACCACATTTTCACGCATATATCCTCCGATGTTTTCACGGATTCACCTACCAAACATGAGTGGTTTACACTCTGTTTGCCAAACATCAGGGACCCTCAGTGTTGTTCCTTGTGAGGGGAATCCAGGTTTCACTTTTTAAATCCATGCTGGAAAAAAAAGAGAAGAACTTTGAGGCCATAATCCAATAACAGGAAGTTGTCCTTATGAATCAGTTCATTCTGTGTATATCTGAGTCCGGATGTGCGCACACACCCGTTCAACACAACCATAATCCTCCCCTGTTTTTTAAAGGTTGTCCACAGCGCTCTCCTTGAAGTCATGCAATACAACAACAGCAGTGACTTTTTAGCACGTTTCTTAATATGACATTTTCAGACAATGTTTGTATTGCTTTTGCTTTTGACTCCGTGTTAGACATCCAAAGGCACAAAGTCCACCCATGATTGCTTTTATACACGGGTCCTTATGTGTACACACACACACACACACACACACACACACACACACACACACACACACACACACACACACACACACACACACACACACACACACACACACACACACACACACACACACACACACACACAGGGTTTCAAAGAAGACAAACCCTTTTCTGTTTTGGAGATTGTCGGCACCTATCTCTGTAGCACTTTGAAGTGATGCAATACTGTATTTATAATTGATTTCTACATCATGGTGATGGTAGACTGACTAGACTTAACATAAAGACATTTTGTCTATGTAGAGAGAGTGAGACAGAGAGAGAGAGAGAGAGAATAGAAAGCCAGTCGGTGAAAAACGCAATACTTTGTACACATCTGTGTGGTACCTGTCTGTCTTTCAGCCTCTCTGTGTTAGTCCATCTGACTTGACTGTCCTCTGTCTGGTCAGTGCTGTTTACCCGTCATGGCAATATCAATCCTCCACTTGGACATTTATATTTAAAAAAACAAAAAAACCCAACTTTCCCTCAATTTTATTGTGGAATGAATAATCTGTGCATTTATTTATTACTGAAGATCTGCTGTTGAATAAACAATGTTCTTAATTAAGTTGTATGTGCTTCCTTTTTATGGCAGTGTGTGAAACTGAGTATGAATATACACACTTTTATAAAAGTCAATTATATGACAATAAACATAGTGAACAATGTATTTGTATTGATTCCGACATTGTGGGTAATTTAGGAATTAGTACATATGGATGTAGAAGTACAATAGATGATGCAGGTTTAGCTGCAGGTTCAAGAAAAGAAGTGCCTCCTCTTCTAAGTCATACAACTTTCCAATGAATTAGTTATACTTGGCTTCAAAAGTAAATAAATGAAGTTGTCAAAATAATCCAAGGAGGCCAGAGGTCAAAGACAAATTGTAGAATGTCAAATACATTCAAGGGGAGGACACAATAACAGTAACACAAAATGCACAAGTACTACTGCTCTCATCTCTACAATCATATGAAGGCACCTCTCTATTTGTGCCTGAAATAAAAACAGAATCAGCCTTATTGGCCAAGTATGTGTACACATACAATGAATTTAACTCCAGTTTTAAGTCGCTCCCAACATTACATGAAGTTACAAGAACAACTTTTATTCAGCTAAAAACAAGGACAACAAAGCTTAACAAGATATGTATAAATACACATACAACTCTTTAATATGAATGTTAAAAACTAATATTTACTCCCCCTTTCAGAGACAGGAATGTTATCTCGGGGGGCCATCTAGTGGTGAGAACATTTAATTGTCCTTGCTCTGCCTATTTCAGATGATGACGCTCACAAAACAGGAGCAAAGCACCAACTCAGCAACAGGTAAGGATGTGATTCCCAATTAAGTAAGCCACAGCAACTGCAGAGATTCATGGTACTTACAACAGCTAATTGACACTGCTCATGGCAGAGTCAGCACAGGAAAGAAAGATTTTGATCACACACATCAAATCTCTGCATTGGTTTGTTTCAGAACTGCAACATTTTAACCCCATTTAATCCCAAATTTTTCCTAGCAATTTGAGTACATGCATTTTATTCCTTAGAACTCCCTAACACACAATATTTATGCCCTTTTTTGATTTTATGTTGGTTAAGTTAGTGAAATACTAGGTTTTATACTCGGTCAAAATAGTGACTGGTGGGAAACGGCATAGTCAAAATTCACACAAATTCTTCAATTAGACCAAGCAAGTTAAATCAATAAAAAACAAACATTAAAAAACACATTTTCATTTCAAAAACATTTAGCATGTCATAGCAGGCAGACATAAACTGTGCCTTAGAATAGTGGTTCTCAAAGTGGGGTCTGGGGACCCCCAGGGGTCCTTATGGTGGTTCGAGGGGTCCTCAGCAAAAAGGGGAATAGTTTTTTTTTCCAATATAATTCCATCCATAAGCAACATAATTACTATTTCGGTCATGGGTTTCATACACATTCTGTAATAAAACATCTACCAATCTAAACCAATCAAACATACCAATCAGTATGTCACCCCTCAAAGACCTGTAGGCCTTGCTTCATTGTAGATATCAGTTATATGACCAAGACAAGTGATGTGAGAAGATGTGTGGAGAACCCTATAGAAACTCAGCAACTCATCCAGGTTCAGATTGGTTTGCACTATATAGGTATTTGACATAATTAGGGCCCGAGCACGACCGTGTGAGGTCCCTATTGAATTTGCTCGGATTATTAGGGCCCGAGCACGACCGTGCGAGGTCCCTATTGAAATTGCTCGGATTATTTTTTTTTAGGGCCCGAGCACGACCGTGCGAGGTCCCTATTGAATCTGCTCGGATTATTAGGGCCCGAGCACGACCGTGTGAGGTCCCTATTGAATTTGCTCGGATTATATATATTTAGGGCCCGAGCACGACCGTGTGAGGTCCCTATTGAATTTGCTCGGATTATTATTTTTTTTTTTTTTTTTTTTTTTTTCTTTTTTCTGCAAAGTAGGCCCAAATGACATGGCCTAAACATACTCGAAAACTCACCAAAATTTGCAAACATGTCAGAACCGGTGAAAAATTTCGTATTCTACAAGTTTCGCACATGGGCGTTGCAAAATGACTCGCTAGCGCCACCTAGAAAATTGGAAAAAATTAGCCCCTCGTTCACGTTCAACCTACATGTACGAAATTTTCTGGGGACATGTATCATGTCAAGACGCACAAAAAAGCCTCAAGAACCCATAGCCTAAACTCAACAGGAAGTCGGCCATTTTGAATTTTATGGCCATTTTTGGATGATTTACACACTTCGTACTTTAACTAACTCCTCCTAGGGATTTAGTCGGATCGACGTCAAATTTCTGCTGTGCCTTCTAAAGGCATTGACGATGAAAAGTTGTGCTATTTGCGCGTTTTCGTCAATGGGCGTGTCCGTGGCGTCGATGATTCGCAATGAAACAGGAAGTTGTTGTAACTTCAGTGTACATGCTCACATCTGGACCAAACTGTACATGTAGGATGAGAGTCCCGCCCTGAACACATGTACATGCTGACATTCACCCACAGTCATAGCGCCACCTGCTGGCAACAGGAAGTGAATTTTAACGAAGCAGCCCCCGCCGCACGTTTTACCTACGTGCACGAATTTTCTGTGGTACGTGTATCTTGTCCAGACGCACAAAAAAGTCTCTTGGAGCCATAGCCTAAACCCAACAGGAAGTCGGCCATTTTGAATTTTACGTCAAATTTTGGATGATTTACACACTTCGTACTTTAACGAACTCCTCCTAGGGATTTAGTCCGACCGACCTCAAATTTGTGCTGTGCCTTCTAAAGGCATTGAAGATGAAAAGTTGTGCTATTTGCAAGTTTTCGTCAATGGGCGTGTCCGTGGCGTGGCGTCAAAGATCAACTCTTCGCCATGACACGGAAGTTGTCGTAACTTCAGTGTACATGCTCACATCTGGACCAAACTGTACATGTAGGATGAGAGTCCCGCCCTGAACACATGTACATGCTGACATTCACAGACAGTCATAGCGCCACCTGCTGGCAACAGGAAGTGACTTTTAACGAAGCAGCCCCCGCCGCACGTTTTACCTACGTGCACGAATTTTCTGTGGTACGTGTATCTTGTCCAGACGCACAAAAAAGTCTCTTGGAGCGATGCCCTAAAATCAACAGGAAGTAGGCCATTTTGAATTTTACGTCAAATTTTGGATGATTTACACACTTCGTACTTTAACGAACTCCTCCTAGGGATTTAGTCCGACCGACTTCAAATTTGTGCTGTGCCTTCTAAAGGCATTGAAGATGAAAAGTTGTGCTATTTGCGAGTTTTCGTCAATGGGTGTGTCCGTGGCGTGGCGTCAGAGATCAAGTCTTCGCCATGACACAGGAAGTTGTTGTAACTTCAGTGTACATGCTCACATCTGAACCAAACTTTACGTGCTTGATAACTCTCCCACCCCGTTATGGAGGACCGATCCTGACACAGTCAGAAATAAATACAGAAATAAATAAATGCTCAATAAATAAATAAGCATCCAATTAAATACACAAAAAAATAAAGTAAATAAATAAATGTAGGTAGTAATTAAATTATACAAGGAGACATAAATGTATATTTTAATTAGTGCCTTTACTATTCACCTTTGTTATAATTACCTTATTTGTTTATTCAACTTTATTTATTACTAATTTTTTTAATGTATTTATTTATGTGTGTGTTTTAATATTTTTGTCTGGTTTATTCTTCCTTTGTATTTATTTACCTTATTTATTTTCACCCATGGTATTTATTTTTGCCTGTCTTTTTTAAATTTTTGTATGCATTTCTGCCTCATTATGCAAATGAGGAGGGGCTGTGTCTCAAGGGGTCATCTTCTCTGCTATTGGTGGACCAGTCAGACAGGAGAGCTCCTACTCTGCCTGCAGACATCAACGATCTTGCCCCTCACACAGTCAGATGGCTTCCTTCCGTGCGCTGAGGTGTTTAACAACTCTGAAGACAATACTACCAGCAATGTCTTCCTTCTCTTTTCACGTAGACGCTCCGACAGACAGTGCTTTCAGTTTGCTGTATGCATGGACACAGAACTGCGGTAAAGGGAGAAGAACACGGTCAGCTGGCTGCAGCTAAATCTGGAGTGCACTCGTATTCAATTCTGTATGGTAAATTCAGTTTTAACGGAGCAGAGCGAGCTGACAGGCAGAGTTAGAGGCTTTTTCTGTCTGTTTCTCTCTTTACAAAGACGCATGTTGCAGTCAGAGTCTTCTCTGAGATGCGAGCACGACATACAACACAATTTATCAAATTACACAACGGATATACAGTATGAAAATAAGATTGATTGGATTATACTCACAGGACGTATAAAACCTCTTACATGGGTCTATTAAAAGTAAAGTAACACAAAAATGTCAGGGAAATTACTTTACTTAGATTTAAGTACTGCAGTTGTACATTTGAAATACCTTCCTACCTTTCTGATAGGAAGCCTTCTTGAGGTGGTATAAAACATTTCTTCTTATATTCTGATTTGAGTTGTGGACAACTATGACCACATGAATTAAAAAAATATTTCACTGCCCAAGTCAGCTATAACGCAAGTCTTGTTCATCAGACTACATGCTGTACAGTATTTGACTACAGATTTTGTCCCAGGATTTCTTATGCATTTCTTCTTCTTCGTTGCATGATCTAGAATAATAAGGTGAGAAATGGGTCTATTCTGAGTTCATCCTGCACTGCAGCAGCTAATAAAGTCCATTTAATCCCAAAACGCTTTTCTTTTAGGCAGGCTGGAGCAGAATACAACTCACCTTTCTCAAGTTGTACAGTAATGTCACATGTGTATGAAGGTGGATCAAACAAGCTAATCTTAAATGTCAAAGTAGAGAGGATCCTAGTAGGCCTATTTATTTTCATTCATTACACAATATGAATAAGCTATGCAGACAGTTGTAAAGAAAGAACATCTTTTCTTCTGTTCTCTACTTGTTATAGTTACACAGTATTAGGGGTGTGGGCTGTATTAAAAGTATCCACTGTTCTCCCATGCTCTAACACACAGTAACGATGAAATGTGTGCTGTTCTCACAT